ATTTCATGTAATAATCTAATAATTAATAAATACACACTATTGTAATGAAAGAACAGAGCCAGCTTAGCTGGGAGAACAGACCACTCTGCTGAGAGAACAAACCAACTCCTCAGACAAGCAAAGTGAATTTGAAGGGTTTTTATATTTATATGACAACTAGATTCCCCTGATACTAGTACAACACCAACGGTACTCCTGGAATACTGTTTTATTGGCAAAGCCAAGAATTTTAAGTAATATTTGAAGCCTGCTAAAAGAGACAATTCAGGTGAATCTGAAATATTATATAACAAAGAGTATAGGTTTCTAAGGTGATAACAAATCATGAATATAATATTATTTACTGGATGACTTCAAAAATAACACAAAAATTTCAGAAGGAATATCTAATATAGAACGGTAATCTCGAATTTCATTTTCTTTAGCAAAAAACTAACATCGGTTATTAATTTTAAAGTGACAAATTAGATGAAAGAAATGCTTTTGAGTATTATTTGTAATTGAAGATGACAATTCAGAGCTTTGACTCTACTGTCAAGATTTCATAGGCATAGCTAAAGATAAAAATGCATAAATTCGAATAGGCAAGTCATAAATCTTCAGGCTATTTCATTTAAATCAGAAATTGCCATTTTGTAAAGACCACCACATCCTCAAAATCAAGCTCAGAAAGAGCAAGATAATTTGTAATATCATTATTATCTTGGTTTTGTGAGCTTAATAAAAAAACAGATTTAATGAACTCTTTATGATAAGTTTGGATATCAATGAAGTAACTTGTTTAGATAAATAGTGCCGCTTCAAAGTTTCTTCAACTTGATTTTACTTATCAGCTAATAAAACATGTAATCTTTTGTATCTTGGGTTCGATTGAGTTTCTTTAACAATATCAATTTAAAAAAATTTATTAAATAAAATTTATGAAATTGTTATTAATCATTTAAAAATTTGTCACTATCAAAATATACAGTTAAATTTTAATTTAAATAATGCTCGATAATTGACTGAGTTTAAAACTCAATAAATGAAGTTTATTTCGATATTCGAAATTTTCGATCAGTGTTCAAATAATTAATTATTCACCAATTTCACTCTCTACATACTTGGATTCTGTTAGCAAAATTGCATAGGCATAACCAAAAAAAAAGGTTTTTAGAATCTGCTAAATATGGCAAATTGAATAGACAGTAAAACATCTATAAACGCACATACTTAGGACCAAGCTTTAACAGCATGTACTTAAAAAACTATCCCTTAGATTGTAGTAGAATACAGGCAAATTTGCCTGCGTTTTTACACTTTTTTAGCTCTGATTTAC